AAATAATGCACGCACAATGTGTGGTTATTATCTGTCATTGCCATGTGCAAAGAAAACCTTTTAAAAAGCATTTGATCTTTTGATCAAACTCTTCACAAGGGATCACTCAACTTTGGATGTCCAGTCCTAGTCAACTGGGGCCAGATACGTGATCACATAAGCACATTTTAATTTATATAGAGAAACTTAATCCTGGCATGCTGTAACTTTTGAAGGCTCAATTATTCAACCTTCATACCCCTCAGACAGATGGAATTCAGGAGGAGGAGAACTTTATTACTTGTTTTAAAATAAATGTATCACTGGGTAGAAGAATTAAGTCTTCCACTCACAATTAGATCTGTGGAACCATTTCTTACTTGAAATAATGACAGCAACAGGCTGTTATCTTCTAAGTGACGCTCACCAGAAGTGTGTGTCAACATGTCCAAGGCTAGCATGTCCACTGCTACTTGAAAGTCAGAACACAAGAGCTGAGAGATGACACTCTTGGATCCTGCCCCTTGGATCACCCCTTTCAGCATCAGATTCTGTCCTACTTCAGGCCCTGATGCTTCCCTCGTTCTCTTAATCTCATCCCACTCCTGCTCTGCTTTCCCCTTTCTCCTCTTTTCTTGTCTGTACCCACATCCTCCCTCCATCTTTCTGCACTTCTGGGAGTTTCTCCCTCTCCATACTCCACAAGTATCCCAGAAAGATGAAACACGTAAGATCACAAGAGAGTGACCACTACTGGCAATTTCCCCACCCAGAAACACAGAAACATAAAGTCACCATAAAGAGAGGTTGCAGGGAAAACCTCCCCAACCCACTCACTTGGGATCTCTTTCTCCTACAATCTAATCATGACAGGGTGAGGAGAGAGGGTGAAACATGTTAAATGTATACAGAGCCTGCAAGGACTGTATCTGGCCCAGCCTCGACAAGCAGCTGTAAAGTAACATTTTCAGAAATATCAGAGCTTGGTTAAAGGCACTTCCTTGTCCTACAGAATGCTGAGTTTCTGTACCAAAGCATATTGTGCCAGATCTTCCCAATGAAGTAACTATGGTATTTTTTTAGGATGTTCAAATATATTATTTTCCCCTAATTTCATTCACTGAAATGACTGAACCACTAAACTGATTCCAGGGTAGTTTGCCGAGAGTCAGGGACTAGCTGAAAAACAAAGCTCTCTCATTGTTGTAATTTTGGCAAATCTATAAACAATACTGCCAGTCCCGAGCATTAAGAAACTACAAATCAGGCCATGCACAAAAAACCTCATAGATTAGATGTAAAACTGTTTTTCAAATAGTAGCAGAAGCAGGCACCTGCAGTTGAGGTGGTTTAGCTTCCTCATTGCATTTGCAAGGCTTCCCTTTCAAACTTTGCAACTTTGAAAACAAGATGCTTTTTTGTTTGAAACGAAAGATAGGCTGCTTATATTTTCATTTGTCTCCTGGGTCTTGATCTGGATGAAAACATCAAGCACTGAAACACTCAAATCAAGACATGGCAAAACTACATAAGCAAGAGGAAGCAGAATCTTATGGTAAAAAGCATCAGGGAGCGTATCTATAGATGATAGCACCAGTGTGTCCATCATACTCCTCATTTCTCTTATAATAAAATTCCAGCCAATTAATCCTGACTCTGTGGTTAGTTATGTGTTCCTTTCCACCACTTTTGATAAGATTACATAAGTGGTAAGTGATTTAGGAGTAGCAGTACTCAGTATAGCAAGAATAGGTTCAACTTCTTGCTCTGGTCTTCTTCCTATCCTGTAGCGTGTCTGTTTTCTTACCTAAAGCTACAAGAAGAACAAGTTATAACATTTCTAAATGGCAGCTCCCCTAAAAAGTCCCAGTGAAGCCTATAGGGGTGGGCATAAACACAGGGATTACGTAAACTGAGCCAGCAGCTTACATGAGCAATACCTGAGATGGGTCACACCTTTTTGGGGTCAGGCTCTGAAGAAATGCATGCAGCAGCAAGTGCACCTATGTACAACTCCAAGCATGTCAGGGGCCTGCTGGCAGCTCCAGCTTCAGTGGGGACAAGAAGCATACCCCTGTCTGCTGTGTTTGCAAGGAAGGATGCTGAGAAGCTTACCAGACAAGCAGCTTCCATCGATGCCACACCTGGCTGCCCTGGGGAGCAGGGTGAAGCTCCATGGAAGAGGGACCACACAGGGATGTCTCCTGAAAACACTCCTCTCCAGTCCTATCATTCCTCCTCTACAGAGTCATCACACTAGCTGCTATAGGTGCTTTTGCATCTGCTGACTCTTTCCCCAAAAAGTGAACCTATACATAACATAGTATGTGGTGACTTGATATCTAGAGGATTTGTTAAGAGAAGAATAGACATGAAAAAGACAATTAAACAGACACTTATTCCTGCACTCCTATACTCCTGCACCTTCCAGAAGAGTTTCCTGAATATGTACCTAATCCCTTCCCGCCCACTTTCTAAAAGGCACACTAACTTTGGCAACTGCAAGACAAGGATACTCCTAATGCACCCAAAACTTCCCGAGGCATATATTGGATGGAACTGATATCACAGGCAGCAAGATATGGGGCAGTAGTCCGATAATAATAAACCAAGCTATATGGGCATAGAGATGGAAAGAGAGATGCAAAATGTACAGGGCAAGAATCCCAAATCTTCTTTTTTTTAAAGAAGGGGAACATTTCAAAGCGAGTATCAGGCGCCTGTTGTTACACGCTAAAGGGGAAATCTTCCCACCAGATCCACAGGGCAGGTCTGAGATAAGCAGCTGGAATGATAAGTTATCTCAGTTGTGATTCAGGAAATGTAGATGCTTCAGAAGCTAATGGTGTGTCAGCAGGGAAACGGACACACAGCGGACTGGGGTTAAGTAAGCCTGGGAAGGTGTTTATTCATGTATAACATTTGCAGAGAAGGTGACTCCCTACCTCGTTCCTGGCTGCCCAGAGGAGCTGCTTATAACTGAAAATATGCTCAGAGAAGCCAAGCGGAAAGGTCAGGGTGGGCAGGGGGCTGATCCCAACCATGACAGCCCTCCTGTCAGAGCTGGTGCTCCCCCTCACAGTATACACCCTGGGAAGGACAGCAGCTCACCCACCTGCGCCTGCTGCCCGCTGCACCTCAGCATAACGCAGCCAGGCTCCTGCTGCAGCACTGGCAGAGGGGACCACTGCCAGCCTTCAGAGAGCACAATGTGCTGCAGCTCAGAATTAGAGGTCACTTGCGCATCCTTCTGCATTGGGCTGGATCAACTGTAGCTGAACCATTCCCAGCAGACACTTGTCCAATCTATTTTCAAAATCCTCCCACTGCCATTCTAGGCAATCTATTCTTGTGCTTTGCAACTGAAAGTTAGAAATCTGTTCTTAATGTCTAATCTAAATCATAAGTCAACTTTAAAAATGACAAGTACAGTTAAAAGTTTCAGGAATTTCCTAATAATAAATGTGGTTTTCATTTCATTTCTCTGTTGGTTGCTGCACACTCAGGGTAGTTTCAAATCACTTTTTAAAGCATCCCTCTAGAATCATGATACATAGAAACGATATTTGTTATTTTTCACAAGAGCCGAGATTGTCATTTAATTACATAAATCCAGGAGTAGGAGATTTAAGGGGGAAAAAAATGGTGATAAAGTCCTGTGAGAGATGCCAACACTTAATATAGCTGTAGAAGGCTTTTTTTTTTTTTTTTATCCATATGCCTCACAGACCCATTGCCCAAAAATGTTCTGAAGTGACGACAAAGTCAAGCAGAAAAGACACCTCACCCATAACTAATAGAGGAAAGTATCTCAGGTATGGGGGATATGTATTCCTATGTATGTGCATACATATTCCTTCATTTACCTCTCATCAAAATCCACTTTAACTATCCCAATCATGTGAACACTGCCTTTCAGCAGACATTTCACAAGATCCCATTCAAATGAGTTAATAGCAAGAGAAGCAGTTTTCTCCTGCCTCGCCAAAGGTGAACCTATATGAAACCACCACTTCATTCTGGCGCTTGAATCCAAAACTATCATTCAGAAGTAACTGGACTCACTCTCTGCTTCAAGGTTTTTAAAAGAGCAGCCTTGGCTTGCTTACCAACCCTGATGCAAATGCAGAAGCACGATGAAAACACCAACAGGAGCACTGATCTTTTACGTCAGCAGAACTAGATATGAAGGAAAACTACAGTGCCACAACTTTCTAGATACACATGGCTGGGCACTGAATTATCCCTGGAGAGCACCACATTCAAAACTTACATCCTCAAAGCTTGTTATTTATCACTGGAAATGCCTAGCTTTTTAACTAAGGCATCACATTAATTTTGCTTAGCGTCACATTAATTTTGCTTAACTTTAGCATCCTCGGTGTAGTCAGCTATATCTGAGTTACTTACCCTAGGCACTGCGTTTCATCCCAGAGCAGACACAGCAGATGAGCTGTGCCTCCTGATGACTGCAAAGGGGCCCTGCATTGCAGACATCTCAAGTTAGGTGACACGATCCTCACCCTCGCTGCCTGCATCCTGCTCTCCAAAATCACCCGGATAAGAGAAGAGAATTCTTGATAAGAGAAGAGAAGCTGCCATTGTTTAACACTTTCTATTAGCAGGTTGAGGCCAGCCAGCATGCTCCTCCAGAGCTGCCCACTTACCACGATTGTAATTACAGTAACTTGGAGTGCTGTTACAGATTGAGGATTCCCTTGGAAATCCAGGTATCTGAAAATTAGGCATTGCGACCCTGAGCTTCAGCCTCCTTCTAGGTATCTCACCTAAAGTGTCATTCTGGTCTCTTTTCTGTACCCTCAGCAAACACATGGGAGGGAAGGGGGCTTATGGCTATCCTAAGCAGTTTAATTATCATTTTTACCACATCACATCTAACAACTAGCATGCAGATACCATCTTTGTATGCCTCTGAATAAATAAATGTATATATGTATATTTTTATATATGTAGCAAGTGCCTTTTTTCTTTAGGAACATACTAGCAAATTACATTATCTATGATCTTGTCTTCTGCAGGCTAACCTAAGACAATAAATATGGTCCAATGCAAGGTCCAAGAGACTTACAGTTCTCTTACTTACTCCACCTGAAGCCAGGCCCTCTCAATCTGTTCCCCTCTCTTTGGACTTATCTCTTTGCTCCACTGCAAATGAAAATTCTGCGTGTGCCTGTTTTCCCACTATGTCCCAATCCTTCCTTTATGGCTCAAGAAGTCTGAGACTCCTTTACACAGCCAGTCATAGGTACTCCAGCTCTCCACACAGCTTCTCACTTACTTGGAGTGCCCTCATTAAGCTTTCCTTTTCTTTCAGACAGCAGGATCCTCCTCCCAGTCCTCAGACCCAGGTGCCTTCTTCACCCAGCTCTAATTTCTTTGCCAAACTATTCCTACTCCACTTTTCTCATTTTCAGCTCTCACTCCTACCCTGAAGGCCAAGTCATAGTTCCTCTCCCCCTTCCAGCTTCCAGAGGGGAACCAAAATCTAGGCCTCCATGTTCTCCTTTTTTCACTCTATCCCTTCCCCTCCACCTCTGTGCCAGGAAGTTCTGCTGTCTGGCCCATGTGCCTGCCAATAGCAAGTCTCCCAGGAAGCAGCACACAGCAGGCAGGAGGGGAAGGTGCATCCTGTGCTCAACTCCAGCAGCACTGCACTCAGTTACTGAGGGTGCCTGCATGCATTCAGAAAAGTCAGCAAATTAAGGTTTTTCAGGAAGGGGAGAACCTTCAAATATGTCTGTTGCTGCTTTGCTGCATACGTACCACCTGGGCTTCTTCCAGACGCTTTTTGACATGACTGGCATAACTGCTTTTCTTTGCATCCTGGGAGTTGAATGCCATGATCTTTGTTTTCACTCCTGAAGATCTGGGTAACAACAGAAAATTTTGCCCTTGTTCGTATAATCTAGAAATATTATAATCAGTATTTCTTTTCATAGAAATATCAGACAGCTACAATAAGAGGCAGCTCTTCCATTCCCACCTGTAATGACCAAGATGCGTTCAGATTGGACGCAAAGAAAAGAGTGATGTTTTCATCTCCTTTTTTTCAACAGCCATGAACACAGACGTGTTCCAAAACAATATGTGAACACTGGTTGCTGACCAGACTTTTGTGGATGCTTACTAAAGAAATATGTTGGTTTAGTGTAAAAGGTGGCTAAAACAAAAAGGAAGAAAGGAAATATCAGGGTAGGAGCACAAGAAGCCCTGCAAGAAACATCTGAGATCTAGTAAGAAGCCACTATCGCCACCAAATTGCTCTTGAGTAGTTCAGTCTAACTGTGATGCACCACCCCAAGAGGTTTAAACAATCAACGCCAAAACCCTGGAGCAGAAGGACTTACTCAAAGACCCTTCCGGCTGCATAAACACCTTTTCTTTCGAAAGTAGAGCAAGTTGTTGTGAAGCCAAGGAGGGGAAAGCAGACTGACACGAAGTCCCCCAAGATTATCGGTGCCAAATGCAAAAGCTACTGTCAGCTCAGAAAATGCTTTCCTGACATGCTGAAGATAAAATCACGTATTGCCAACCACCCTCACCACACATCCCAAAACGTGCCATATGGCTGAAAGTACTACAACTGATTTTGCCGTTCCTCGAGTTCTGGTGTGAATTAACAATGAGTCTAACATATAAATTACATCATCTTTTAACTTTTTGTGATGTATAACATTGGACAGCTTTGTCTGGGACAATCCATCATGAACTAGTCTTGTTGACATTTTGGATTCTCTCTTCTGACCTTGTCCTTTCAGCACAGACATAATTGTGCTTATGATAATTTTATTCCCAGTTAGGCAGTGATTTTGCACACCTTTGAGTTACAGCATCACTAAGAAGCCAGTTCTCTGTATGACTGCTGAAACAAGGCACCTTGAACCAATTTACGCTGAAGCTCAGTCCGGTGGCGTAGCAGTAAATAAAAGTGGGTAAACTCACCTCTCTCAAGTGCACATAAGTAGGTTAACTCTCTTTAGTTGTGTTTACTGTTGACTATACCACAGGTGCAATCTCAGCTGGGGGCTCCCTACTGAGGAAACACCAACCATATGTTTGCACAGCAGACAACAGTGAAGAGAGGGGAGTTGTACAAGCCAGTCATCATGATATGAAGGGTCTAGCAGGCACAGGGGAGGGATTCAGGCTCCTTTCTACAACCCAGCGCATGTGCGAAGAACTTCCCATTTCAGCCACTTTTGGGAATCATCACTAATTTGTCCATACTTACATGCCATCGTGCGGCTTTAGGGATTTCTTTTTAGATATGTAACGCGTTAGCAATCATCTAGGGTGATGGGCAAATCTCTTTTCTCGAAGAATCGACTGTTCAGTGTCACTTTAGTAGGAATATACAATTATTATGGGACATGAATTATTTGAACTGTTCCCTGCAAAGACTGATTGCCTTTCACGGGCTGTGTGTGGGAGCAGCAGAGAAATCCCTGCTGCTCTAACCAGTGTCGGCACCCCCAGACAGTCAAGCATCACTGCAGAAGTGCACCATCATTTCACTGTAGCAGTGCTCGAGCTGAGGTTCCTGCCCACCCTGCTCTTGAAGCAAGAGTGATTGAGCTTGTTTCAAAGCACCAGTTTGCATGAATATGAGAAAATGTGCTGGACTGCTTATATTTAAAATTAAACTTTGAGCTATCACTCACCCGAGCAAAGGGAAAGGGACATCCCATCGCATCCACGTTTGCATTTTCAGGGAAGAAACAGTCATGTCAGCTGCAGCCTCCTTTCAATACAAAACTTCTAGACCATTTGTTAGGTTATTGTAATGAATAGGCTGTTACAGTCCCAGTGGGATAACTGGGTAACTAGCCAAGTGCAGGTGTATTTTAGTTGAAGAACACAACTTCACAACGTCACCCACTCACTTCTGCCCTCTTCAACACATTTTTCAGCTGACATGAGGAGATGGAAGGACAGACACAGAGTCTGACCAGGGGAAAAAGTAACCTCCTACAGAAACAGTTGCTGTAAAGCTGGAAGGAGTGAGAGCAGCAGTTCTGCAAGCTGCTGCGTTTTTTTGCCACTTGCCACAATGTTCTTTTGTGTTGTTTCTGGATCTGCTTTCTTTACATGTGTTTTTCAACTGTTTCTGGCTGGAGGTTGTTGTTGCTGGAGTGTGGATATGTTGCTGGAGATGTTATTCAAGTTCACAGGCTGCCTGCATGCTACTAAATTCCACTGCCCTCAGCACTCCTACCCCGTATCAATCTGACTTTATTTGCCATCAAACGTAAAATAAAAGATGTCTGTTTTTTTAAAACTAAAAGGTATTTGGGTTTTATCAGAAATCCTAGTTCCCTGGGGTGACTTGGTTTTAGCACTAGTCTAGCCACGTGGCCTAGGCTTTGTACCTGAAGGAGAGGTGCTTTTGGAGCTCAGGGATGTAGCCCAAGAACAAGACAATTTCCTCTTATCTCCTCCACAGCCTCCTCACCTACTCAATTTCTGGAAGCTGTTACTTAACATAGCATTAAATGTGAATGGTTATCAATCCAGTCCAGAAACTGAGCAAGAGACTCTAATAGACAAGACATGATTATCTAATTTTTGTTTTAGACAAATGCTGAAGCTCATGGAGGAGCAGTAACATCGCAATAACAGAAACTGAGTTTCAGTTGAAAAAGCAATTATCTGGTACTATGGGATGAAGTGAGAACAGGGAAACATCTTATGATGTTATGATTCCTCTTCTTCTCAGCTTCCTAGCAGTGGGGAGGGGGTTGCCATGACCTTTGTGTTTAACTGTGAAGACACCAAAGGCCACCCCAGCTCCGCTGTGGTCCTTCCTCTTCCCAAAACAGCCTCTGAATAGTAATGCTGGGTGTAATCCTGGCTTCCTTGGACTTTTCTTCAGGAGCTTTCCTGGAGACTCAGCACGAACACAGACCCGAGGAAAGACCACCAAGATGCCTCCAGCATCCCACTACTAAGCCCGGGATGCTGCCTGCCGCACTGTCTGGCAGCCCCCAGCATCCTCCATCCCACAGGTGCACATCCATGCACCCCGTTCCCACAGACTCCCTGCACATGCTCCCACATCTCCTTCTCTCTTTTTTTTTTTTTTTTTTTTTATTTTTCCCCTGCAGAAAGTCGAGGTTAGAACCCTGAAACCCGAAGCCCTGAAACCGAGCTGCCTTGCCCCGCCGGTGGCATGGCCCCGCCACACACACCCGTGTCCGCTCCGTGGCCCGGGTGCCATCAGGATGAGGGAGGGATGAGGGGGGAGAAGGGGGTGTCGGAAGAGCGCAAGCAGCTGGCGCTGAGTGGGGTGCCTGTGTGGGTTACGCGTGGCTGACCGCAGATCTGGAGGAGTGGAGGAGGAAGGGGAGGGGGGTGATTCTCACCAATTTCCTCACGGGCAGGAACGCGCGTGTCTGCGTGGGGGAACCGCTGAGGTTTCCTTCTTGAGAGAAGCAATTAAACGCGAATTAGTTTCTCTCGTGCAGCGGGAGCAGAGCTCTGCTTCTGTGTCCCTACCCTCTGGCAGGGGCAGCCCATGGGTCAGCGTGGGGACCCAGGCCCCGCGTGGGAGCAACCCCCGGGCCGGGCGAGGCGCTCCCGCACCCCGCACCCGCGCACCCTCCGCGCTCTCCCGCCCCGGCCGGGGAGGTGGGTGAGAGGCATCCAAGTTAAAGAAGAGGTTGCCCGGAGCCGTTTCCCGGCCCCGCTGCCAGCCCCCGGCGAGCCCCGAGGAGCGGGACCGACATGGAGCGCTCGGTGCGGCCGGTGACCAAACAAGCCCGGTCTCCCCAGTCTGCATTTTAATCCTGAAATCTGGAAATGGAAATTGTTTGATGTATGAGGAGACGTTATCTAATTAGGGCGTAAGAAATTTAATCTTTCCAGCAGGCAGGTCATATAATTAATGTTAATTTAACGCTCAAATTCTCAGTCATTAATTTTTATTCTCTTAAATGTAGTTTGGCAGGGCCCCCTGATCCATGGCAATGGATTTTACTGAATGTGAGAGCACACTTGGTCTTTGGAGTGAATTACTGCAGCCCTTCCTATCCCAATAACAAGATCACATCATGTATGCATTATTAAGCCATGTAATTGAATGGTCCATAGTTTGCATATCAGACTATTAAAGTAATGTGTTTTGCTTTTCTTCCAACACGTAACGTTAAAGCCTTTGCGAATATTTGGTGATTCTGATAATTATCACCAAATTACTACAAATGTTCTCTTCATTAACGTGATTTCTCTCAAGCATTTTTTAAAAAATGTGAATAATGCATTAAGTGGTGGCTCGTAAAGTGTTTTTTTAAATAAAACTTGTCAACTACAATTCGAAAATGAGACCCAAAAGAGAGAGAGAGAGGAAGGGAGGGAGAATTAACAGTTGCATGGGAAGAGAACAATTCTTCTCTAAGATTGGAAGAGACGGCTCGCCTTTTCTCCCTATTTCAGATAAGTGACTGTACACCTTTAAAGTTTAACTTCATCGGGAGCAAAAGTGCATGCAATCTAAAGAACTGTCGATTGCAGATGATACAGAACAGATGGAGAAACAAAGTTGGAGCTTTTCCCTTTACAGGGAATAGATGGGGACTGAGGCAGACAGACAGAGAGATTGATTTGAAAAGATACTGACCTCTTTCCTTCAGCTGCAATTTAACTTGTCCTGGAGAAAAAAAAATAATAAAAACAACAACGAGTGAAATCTGCCTCCTCCCCTGCTGCCTCCTGCCTCCACCTGCCCCAGGTTCGCACTGTCATCGCAACAAACTGCTGCGCCGGTATCAGAAGGTGAATAATTCTTAATTAACTAAGTAACTTTCTTTGTGCCGTCTTGAGTCACTCACTTAACTAAATCTTAAGCCTTCAAGAACCTTCATCACTGCCTTCCCCCCGCCACACTATTTTCAAAGTTCAATAGCAAGGCAACAAAAAACACTGCTGCAAAATAAGAGTCTCTTAAAATTAAAGAGCTGTTCATTTGCATCAGAAGTTATTCCTCCCCCCTTTAAGTTATTTAGGCACAAAAAAATACCACCAACCCAAACCCCTCCCCACAAAGCCCCACGCAGCTCGTGTCAGGATCAGTGCCACCGATGCTCTGCAGGGTGCGAAGCCACTGTGGCCGCTGGAGTAGGAGCTGGATCAGGTGTGATGCTGGGTTGTGTGACTCGGGGCGTCCCGCCGCGCTAAGGCTTTGCTGTCTGCAGCCAGAAGCGCTCGGATCCCGCCGGGCCGACCCCGCTGCTCCCCGCAGGCGGCCGGCGGAGGATGTGCGGGGCTGTGTGAGGCAACTCGCACGGCAGCTCCTCTCCGCGGGGGCGGAGGGCTGTAGCCTGGGCCGCCGAGGCTGCTGAGGCTCCTCACCCCGCTGGGAGCCCGGGTGGGCCCGGGCCGCGCTCTTATTTTGGTTGGGAGCAGGCAGCGCTGCCGGCTGTAGCCGGGAGAGCGGAGGGAGGCGAACTGTGCTCCTCTGTTTGGTTTAGGGTTGGGTGTTTTTTTCTTTTCCTTTCCCTCCTCTCTCTCTCCCCTTCCCTCCTCACTATAGCAACCAACGCCAGCCTGACAAAAATGCACCCTCTGTGTGGACAATGGCCCAGCCTTCCTGCTCGCCTCGCTCCTCATCTTCCTCGCCGACCAAAAGAAAGTTTCCAGCTCCCTCCCTCCCTTCTCCCCTCTCCCACTCCGGGGCAGGCTCTTGAGCAAATCCCGGTTCGGGGCGGCCGGGCCACGCTCAGCACCCGCGGGACGGGGCCGTGGTCGTCGTGTTCCCCCCCTCCCCCCCGGGTGAGGAAGGAGGGGACACACAAGTCACCCCCAACCGGGGACCCGGCTTCTGCCAGCGGGGCCGGAGATTCCTGCCCTGCTTGGGGGGGTAGAAGGTGTGTGTGCAAGGGTTTGGAGGGGGTGATGCCGGGGGGCTGCCCCCTGTCCTTGTTAGGGGCCGACCGGGGCCCCCCGAAGCCCCGGCGCTGCTCAGCACCCCGCCGGGTCCCGGCGCCCGGGCTCGCCTCTTCGGCGGCGAGAAACCAGCACCCCAGGCCTGGCACGGCCTCTGCCTCGCACCGGGGGTGGCAGAGCAGGGCAGTGGCTGCCGAAAGGAAAGGCGCTTTGGAAGGGCAGTGGGAGCTGTGCCCAAAAGTGCCCCAAAAGCTGGAAGCGGGGAGGGAGACTCGTGTTCCCCGGTGAAGCAGGGACAGAATTTAACCGAGCTCTTCCCGGGGTGCCTGCTTGTCTCCGTCAGGCGTGATCACAACGAAAAACAGAAAGGGAACTGCTAGATTTGTCAGAGAAAGCTGTGGGCACTTTCCTGTCCCTCTTTTTTTCTTTCTCTTTATTTCTTTTTTTCTTTTTTCTTTTTTTTTTTTTTTAACTCCCTCTGTTGCTGTATTCCGTCCTGTATTTCTGTGAATAGCACAGGCTTTGGGAAGTCCCGGCTGAAACCTCTTTCCCGTGACAGAGAGGCTGGATAGCATCCCCTCTCCCCTTCCCGACCGCTTCACCTGCTTTCCCCGCCAGCAGAAACGCCCTCCCGCTCCGTGGCGGGGCGGTCATTCCCAGCCCGGCTTCCTGGCACTAAATTCCAAACTCCGCAGCACCAATCGCATTTGGGTCTGTGTGCGAGAATTCAATAAACAAGCTGCATTAACTCCAACCAGAATTTATCTCCTAGACTGATGGAATTTGTCTCTTTTTTTTATTCTTTTTTCTCCCTTCTGCTTCTTCTGCTTCCTTCCCCCCCCCGCCCCAAGACCTCATATTCACCACTCAAAATTTAGCAGCCTGCCTTTGATAAATTACTCAAAGTAATCCCTGCAACAGCTAAGTCTGACTGGTTGACGTTGTGTTAGAAGTCTTCCTAGCGGTATCTGTCTATAAAATATTCACTTGCGGACTACAAAGGGTGGATCATTTTTAATGACAAGATTCAGAACTGGAGGATGAAGGGAAAAGATTAATATCCGTGAATTCAAATAATTTAATTTCAAATACTGAACTTAGAACATTATATCCGACTAGTTTAAACAGTGAAGCAGATAAAATAGCAGAGCCTCACATGAATGAAGCGGCCGGAAGAATAGAGTTGTGGGGAATGTTAGAAATGAACATTAATGCAAACTTTACCAGAACTTTTTTTCCCCTATTTTTTAATTTTACCTCTTTCTATCTTCTGGGATAATCAGTATTCTAGCAGGGCAGAAATGTATATAGTATTACACGTGTGCATGTGTATATCTATATGTGCAGGGGGAGAGAATTTCTTTCCTCTAGAGATAGGTGGAGAAATCTATTTAGATGGCAGATTTTAATTTCAATGGGTAATGTGAGCTTGTGCAATCAAAGTTATCAATTTCTGTCCTTTTTGTTTAGATTTCTTAGTTAAATGTGTTTGTTATATCTACCCCGAGGAGGAGCAACTTGAAAGTGTAGCTTTTGAGTCATCTTATAAATACATCCCTGAGGCTGCGGTTCTTGCAGCTTTAAGCAGTTTTCATTAAAGCCGCCAGCTGCCTCTTTGTGTAGATTGGATTTTTTTTTAAGCAATCACTTGTGAAGCCCCGGCCTCAGTTTTGTCTCTCCGCAGGCCCTTAAAGTTGAAGTTTCATTCATGCCTTGGGTCTCTCCACCGAATCAGACTCCTTGGAGCAACACTGGAAAGAGCCACACGAAAGCGCAGGCTTGAATACCTCGTAGAGAAAGGTTAAAAGGGAAGCAGAGATCAAAACAATCCCATCTCACAAAAGGTGCATTAAATGCGCCCCAGCAATAAGCACAAATCTTCCAAGCTGGCCTTTAAAGGGAGCACCGGGAGCCTCACGTTTATTGCACCCAGCAATTCTCAGAGCGACTCGCCGTGTCTTTGCACTCCTGGCACATTTCCTCCTAAAACAACATCTAATGGGAAGATAATAGAGACGCAGAAAGGAGGCGCGGGGATCCCCTCCCCCCCCCCTCCCCTTTCCTTTCAGCTGCCTGAATATATCTCAAGGCTTGGAGACCAGAGTTTCAAATAAGCTTTTCACCTCTAACAGAGCAGGCAGATGCAATGTATGCTGTCCACCCTAGGAACGCAGCACCAGAGCGCTGCCCCAGTCCCTGGACCCGGGATGCTGCTGAGCGGTGCCCGGGACCCGAGGCTCGCTGGGAAAGAGCCGTGTTCCTGCTTTGCTACTGGAAATGCAGCTTTCTCTCCGGCAAGAAGCGGGGGGAAGCACCAGGGAGCCCCGCACCTCTCACGCCGGAGCCCGCTGCAGGAGCCCGAGGCGGGTGGCGGGCTAGGGACCCCGGGAGATGAGGCGGGTGGCCCGACGTGGGGTGCCGGGGGGTCCTGGGGCCCGCCAGCGTCCCTCTGCATGCACCTGATGTGTATGCAGCACCTCGCCTCATAGCCAGGAGAGAGCTCCAGTGAAGTGGCGCTCTATGTATTTTATAGCGAATATTCTCGAGTAGCTGCACTGCAATGAAGGAGATATCAAGGAGGCCTGTCAGTTCAAAGCTTTTGGGGTTGTTTGAAAATCTTCTTCACGTCAAAGTAAGCAGCCCTAGTATTTGAACAGCTGCTTTGAACAGTGAAAAGGGCTGAGCTGAATCAAAACACTGCAGTGTCTGCCCAAGACACCGCATCACCTTCAACCTGCTTTTATGCGAGCAGAGAAAAGGAAAGAAAGGCTGGTGAGACCTCTAATCCCGCGGGGTCAGCTCCGCCAGAAAGGGGCCGCATGACTGTCTCTTTCACATCCCTAGCGCCCCGGACCCGACCGGCCGCCGGAGCCCGCGGCGGGCATCAGCGGTCTGGCGCTCGCTCCCTGGCTCTCCCCTCCCCGGGGGGAGACGGGCGCGAAGGATGCTTAAGGAGCGGTATTAATGACAGCGCTAACAATGATAGGGAGGACGAGGAGGTGGAGTCTGCGGCGGCTCTGAATGCACCGGCCGCGCTCCTCGCTGCTCCCAGCTGCGACTCCATGGGCGTGCGTTCCGCCGAGGAGGGAGCAGGAGGGATGGCGAGGGGCTTTGCTGCCGGGCGCAGGTTTTGTCCGCCTCCTGATGCCGTGCTGCTACTTCGGTAATTGTCTGGTTACCGTTAGCCTCTGAGCTCCGCCGCTGGGCAAAAAGGGGCACGCAGGACGGTGACCGCAGGCATCACCTGTCAGGCGGCCGGCCCGGAAGGAGGGCCGGGGTGGGGGTTGCACGACCGGAGCAGGGCTGGGGGCGTTTCTCCCCCAAAAGTAAAGCGATGGCTGGAGCTAGGTGAAACCCGCTTCCCTTTTTCTCGCCGGGGTGCGCGGTGCTGCAGGCACCCCTCGGGCATCGGCTCTCCGTGGGGCGCACACATGCCGTGGGGCCAGGGCACAAGGCAGTTTTCTTGGGCAGTCACCGTAGCTGGTGGCCGCAACCTGGAGGCACCCTAGTGAGAGCCTAGCCCTGGAAATGACCTGTGGCGTGGCCCCGCATGTCGCGTCCACGCATGAACTTTTGGAATCGGCCGTGGAGGCGGGCTGGAAGGAAAGCCGCCCCGGGAGAGCCTCGGCGGCTCCCGAGAGCAGGGCAGGAGGGCTGGCCCTGGAGCGGGGCGGCTCTCCCAAGACGGTCCCCGCGATGGTTTGGCGGAAGCCTGCTGCGGACTTGCGCGGTTGTTTTGTTTCAGCTCACTGGTCTACACCTAATTGGGAAGAAGGAGACGGGAAAATGAGCATCAAATTATAAAATTCCTGGGTGCTCGGTTGTTTCCACACGGGAAACAAAAGACAGAGCTTCACTTCAGGGGCACTGACTTCCCTCCTCTCCACACTGGCAGAACAGGCAGCATTGTTCTTCCCTTCGCTTGCACCTCAAGAAAGGGGGGAAAAGCCCCTCAAGAGGAATCTCCACTCTTTCATGGACAAAGTTTGTGTCAGTATTCCCCCTCCTCTTCCTCTACTTCCTCCTCCGTCCCCACCCCCCGGCAGAAGGAGCTCTTGATACGTCGCTAAACTAACGAAACGAGGTAACTCCTGCTGCGCCCCTTGTCTCAGGGCACTGGATATCCTGTTTATGCCGCTGCTGCTGTGTATATGTTTATGTGCGGAAGCCCATCCCCCCGCTCCTCCATACCCCCACGCAGAGGAATATTTCCAGGCAAGGAGCCTTTCCAGCGCTCACGCTAAATACGATGATTTATAAACAAGTCGCAGAAGAAAGCTGTTTCTTGTTAGCAGTAATAAATTCCCCGGTCCGCCCTATTGTATTATCTCGATGAGGATAGCGGGGGCCTGCGGCGCGCACCTACCCCCGTGAGCGGTTTATTTCGAGACAAAGCTATGGCTTCCAGCTCAGAAATGGGCACCCAACTCTTTCCAGGGCGGCCAGCCGGGTGCTGCTCACTCCTAGGAAATCCGGATCCAGTTCCAGGGTCTCCTTCCTTCCTGTCCGGGCCGCAACTTCTCTTTTTAATATTTTTTTTCCCCTATCCCTCTTTTTTTCCCCTGTTTTCTTTTTCCTTCTCTCTCCATTCCCCTTGTTTCTCCTCGCCCACCTCCCTCCCTCAAAATCTTCCATACCGATGCAGATCCGCCTGCCCGGACCCCCGGCAGGCACCCGATGCCGCCGGGACGGGACAAGCGGAACAATGCCACTCCAGTGGTGCAGAGGTGCGAGGCCCCGACATCCCCGGCAAAGCGGTGCGCTCCGGGGAGCACCGGGCGCCCCGGACCCGGCGGGTAGGGAGGGGGGCCTCCCGCTCCGCGGCCCCTCCGGCGGGGATAGCTGCGTGCTCTCGGCCGCGAAGAGAAAGTTGGGGGCTGTCGGGCCGAGGTCCGCGCAGGGACCCGCGGCCGGGAGCGCGCAACAGGAGCCAGCGGGCGGACCGGCGACAGCAGCCTCCCGCCAGCGGAGAGTAGCGGCGCTGGCCCGGCGGGGCGGGGCGGGGCGGGGCGGGCCGAGGCGGGGCAGGCGGCGGAGGCCCCCACCCCCCTCTGAGCTTCCCTCCCGGTACCCGCCCCGCGCCCGGTTCCCCCTCGGAGTTGGGTTCCAGAAGGCGGGCAAGGGGCGGGGCTGTGGGCGGGGCTTCGCGGCCGGGGCTCGCCAATGGCGGCTGGCGGCGGCAGCGGTCGCCAGGAGCGCCCGCGTCCGTCAGGGCGCTCTGAGCCAATGGCGTGCGGCGGCGGGGCGGGGCGGCCGCGCGTGCCTTCGCAGTGGGCCCCGCCGCGCGGGCCGGGGGGGCGCGGGCGCCGCGCGGCGCCCGAGGCGAAAAAGTAGCTGTCAAATGCGCGGCGCCTTTAACCGGCGCGATCAGTGCGGCTCGGCGAGTCATGGCGACCGCAGCCTCCAACCACTACAGCCTGCTCGCCTCCGGCTCCCCCATGGTGCACGCCGAGCCGCCCGGCGGCATGCAGCCCGGCGGCGGCTACCGCGACGCCGGCGCCCTGGTGCAGGCGGACTACGCGCTGCAGAGCAACGGGCACCCGCTGAGCCACGCTCACCAGTGGATCGCGGCGCTGTCCCACGGCGGCCCCGGCGGCGGCGGCGGCGGCGGTGGCGGCGGCGGCGGGGGAGGCGGCGGCGGCGGCGAGGCGCCCTGGTCGGCGGGCGCGCTGGGCCAGCCCGACATCAAGCCGGCGGTGGTGCAGACGGGCGGGCGCGGCGACGAGCTGCCGCCGCCGCAGCACCCGCCGCCGGGGCGGGCGCCGCACCTGGTGCACCACGGCGGCGGCGGCGGACACCACGCGGCGGCGGCGGCAGCGGCAGCGGCGGCGTGGCGGGCGGGCGGCGCGGCGCACCTGCCGCCCGGCATGGCCGCGGCCAACGGCGCGCAGGCGGGGCTGCTGTACTCGCAGCCGCCCGGCTTCACCGTGAACGGCATGTTGGGCGCCGCGCAGCCGGCGCTGCACCACCACGGCCTGCGAGATGCCCACGAGGAGCCGCCGCCGGGACCGCCCGGGCCGCCGCACCACGGCCCCGAGCACCCGCCGCCGCCCCACGGCCCCCACCCCGGGGCGGCCGGCCCCGCGTCCGCCTCCGCCGCCGCCTCCGCCGCGCCGCCCGGGCCGCCGCCGCACCACGACCCGCACTCGGACGAGGACACGCCGACCTCGGACGACCTGGAGCAGTTCGCCAAGCAGTTCAAGCAGCGGCGCATCAAACTGGGATTTACCCAAGCGGACGTGGGGCTGGCGCTGGGCACCCTCTACGGCAACGTCTTCTCGCAGACCACCATCTGCCGCTTCGAGGCCCTGCAGCTCAGCTTCAAGAACATGTGCAAGCTGAAGCCTTTGTTGAACAAGTGGTTGGAGGAGGCGGACTCCTCCTCGGGCAGCCCCACCAGCATAGACAAGATCGCGGCGCAGGGCCGCAAGCGGAAAAAGCGCACCTCCATCGAGGTGAGCGTCAAGGGCGCGCTGGAGAGCCACTTCCTCAAGTGCCCCAAGCCCTCCGCCCAGGAGATCACCTCGCTCGCGGACAGCCTACAGCTGGAGAAGGAGGTGGTGAGAGTGTGGTTTTGTAACAGGAGACAGAAAGAGAAGCGCATGACTCCCCCGGGAGGGACGCTGCCGGGAGCCGAGGACGTGTACGGGGCCAGCAGGGACACGCCGCCGCACCACGGGGTGCAGACCCCCGTGCAGTGAACTCGCGGCGGGGGCGCCCGGCCCCTCCTCCTCCTTCTCCTCCTTTTCCTCCTCCTCCTCTCCTCCTCCTTTCCCCAACTTTTGATTGTCCTCCTTTTTTCTTTTTTGTTTTTCTTTTTTGTTGTTGTTGTTTTAATTTTCTCCTATCTTTAACAAAAAAGACAAAAAACAAAAAAACAAAAACAAAACAAAAAAAAACGAACAAAAAACGCGGGGAAAAAAAAAGAAAAAAAAAAGAAAGGAAAAACAAAACAAAAAGCGAGCGAGAGGGCGAGCGCGAATCACAGCAGACAGCCAGACAGACAAAGCACCTGCACCGGACTATCCCTTAGACGGTAGCGGGTGCGATGCTGGATTTTGACCTTTCCAGGCGAGTGCCCGTGCACCGGAGTGGAGTGAGTACTGCGCACAGGCAGGCAGGCAGGTACCGGTAGAGCAGCGTCAGGCACCGGCTGGGCACCGGCGGGGCGAAGCTGTTCGCACTAAACTCCTTTGCCCTCTGGAGACAAAATCCGGCGCTGCCCGGCCGGGGAGGTGGCGGGAGGGGAGATGGGAAGGGTTGGAGGGGCGGAGGGGGGGGGGGGGGGTGGCAGTAACCTCGGGTCCCCTCCGCAGCCCCCTCCAGCCACACAAAGGCAGATTGCATTGTGGAATGTCGCTCGGTGTTGGCACATGCTGCTGTGTTTATTTTCTGTGGATCCCCTGTAGGAATATATGAAAAAAAAAAAAGGAAAAAAAAAAAAGAAAAAAAAAGAGAACGGAAAAGCTCTCCCTTTTGATGTAGACAGTATTTAACCGTACAATTTGCACTGCAAGAAAATCGAAGTTTACATAAACAAATTCTTTTATTATTTTTTTTCTTTATATTTCCCCCCCCCCTTCCTTTCCGACCTTGATTTTGCAAATGACTTGCATTTTCCACGGTGAGCGTTAGTCAACCAGTGACCGGTCTACAATATGTTACTGTGTTCTAGCCTTTGCTTTATGTGTATATGTGAACTTTTGTTATAAACAAGTCTTCTTAAATATGTGTAACGCTTATTTTCTCCTTTTACCGTAGCAGAAGGAATGCGTATATCTGTATGTATGTACACATATGCATGCGTGCATAGACGTACATATATACACATATATTTAATCTCGCTATATACACATATATATATATATGCACCACAAGCTTCCATTCTCCAGAGACGTGACTCTCGTAATTCCTTAATATACGCCTTCAACGGCAAGAGTCGAGCTTGGAGAAGGAAGAATAATGCGAATGGACAAAGTAAACTTCATTTTCAGGCAGTGTGGCCGGGGGCCGAGGTGCAGCCGGAGGGGGAGGAAAACAAAATCGCATGCAGCCTTCCCAAACTGTGGCAGTGCGGGCGAGCAAGGCCTGGAGTGGGAAAGGCGGAGGCGAAACAACACGTTTCCAGAGTTTTCCGGGGAAAGTGGCACTTCCTTGAGAGGGAAAAAGGAATTGTTTAGCTTCACCCCCCTCCACCTCCTCCAGCTCCTTTCCCCTCCTCCCTCCTGCTCCCCGAGCGTGCCTTGGGCATCCCGGTCCCCCGCACGGGCCGATGTCCACCTCCAAACTTTCTTTCCTTGAGGAGTTTCGCATCAAGGCAGAGCCAGAAAGAGCACGAGGAGCTGCTGGGCCCGGGGGAAGGTGTGTGTGTATGTGTGTGCTTACACCTGCGTGTAAACACACGCTGCCCCCTCCTCCCCGCAGAGACCGTGCGCGCTCCCTTTCCGCTTTTACTTCCCCTATTTCTTTCATTTTTCTGTTTGTATCTAGCCCCTTTCCTACCCATCCCCACCCCCACCCGTCCTGCGGTCAGATTGCGGTATCATTTATTGAAGGAAAGGACCAGTTTTAACTCGAGCAGCCTTGTGTCTTTCACTGGAGAATGAAATGAAGTGGGGGGGAAACACTAGGCCATTTTTCAAGCCGTCTTTTCCCCCTCCCCCCCTTCGCTAATAGTTTTAAAGTGCATTTCTTGACATTATCTTGGTGGGAAACAGTTAACTTTCAAAAAATACAAAAAAGAAAAAGAAGGAAAAAAAAAAAACACCAAACAACAAAACAGCGGGACAAAAGGAGGGAAGAAAGAAACAAAAAAAAGGGAAATAAAAAGCAACCCCCAAAGCTCTAATGGGAAGCGGAGGAGCGGGACCTCGGAGCAGCGCATGGATGTGCGTGTGCCTGAGTGCGCGTCTGTGCGCTTCTGCACACACACAGCTATGCACCCACAGGAGAGGAACTTTCTGATAGTTCTGAATTCATAAGGGATCGTTTAGGCAGCACAAACCGGTGCAACAGAGACAGAGCATCTTTATAATCGAAAAGTTTGTTTAGTTGAGTGTTGGACAATTGTGGAGAAAAAGAAACAGTGAAGCGTTCTCTCGCAGAACTCTCCTATAAATATTGCATTCAGTAGCTAAGGCTTTAGAGTATGTTTCTCATTGTCTTTCAAAGCGCCTGTGACATTGGGTTTTCTTTCCTTCTTTCTTTCCCTCACCCTTTCTTTCTCTCTTTCTCTCTTTCTTTCTTCTTGCTAAGACAGATGATGATTTCTAAGAGGCACATGATTAGCCTTTTTCCTAGGTTTCCAACAATTGTTACAAAGATACGGGCACCAAGCTTTTCTCTTTTCTCCTCCCCCCCCCCTTTTTTTTTCTTTTTTTTTTTTCTTTTTCTTTTACTTTTTTTTGGATGTATTGAGCTGCTTGTTATTTAAAGCGTTGAGGACTAGCGCCTAGTGAAGTGAAGCAGATCAGGGCAGATCCAGTGGTAGAGGGAGGAAATGAACTTTCAGACACTTATTAATACGTGCGTAAGGTCAGAAAACGGAGTCGAGAGGATGTTTGAGAGAAGCCTCAGACTCCAAATTGGTTTACTTAAAAAACAAAACACAAAAGTTACCACACAAACCTTACCACTATGTATATATGTTTAATATTTGTCCTTTGAAATGCAGAAATAGTTTCAATGTTTTCTTTGTCTATTTTTCTTTCTTTTTATTTTATTTTTTTTAAATGCTACCCAGGGAAATATTTTCATATCATTTTTAAGTGGCCTGCCTCAATGTATATTTATTTCTTTTAAAGCAAACAGGTTCTGGAAACTGTTTTTCTGTAGCTTTAAATGAGTAGGTGAACAAAATCTATATGGGATGTAATTTTTTTTTAATTTTTTTTTTTTGGTTCAGTCTCTTGAAAAAAATACTTTGTTTTGGTACATTTGGATGTGCTTGTGGGGAAAAATAAAAACGCAGAGATCCTTATATATTTATGTTAAAGTAATATTTTATTATCTACATAAAACAGAAATGCACAATACCTTCATAGTTTGTTCTAATTATTGAAATATCTTTATTTTATTTTTAAAGATAGCACAGATTTGCATAGTTCTTAAGATTTGGAGGGAAAACACCCCAGTACTTATACTGAGTTGCGTTCTGTGTAAAAGCACCGCCATTCCTTTATATTTCATGGAATTTTTGGAATAAATTTGATGCCTATAAAGAGAGGTTCCACGCTCATAACTTCCAGGGTGTTTTGAAGGAGAGGCTCAGGAGGAGCTGTACTCGTCTCTCCGCAGATGACCCGCAGCCGTGTGTTTTGGAGCCTTGGTTTCTGAGCGGGCAGTGGGGTCCTGCCTTCTGTGCTGGCGGGGAGCTGTGCTCCTCAGGGTAGTTGCATGCTCTGGCGGAAGGTGTGTGGGGGACACTCGACTCTTCTCTGTCCCTTTGGATAATTTAAGGTCTGAGTCCTTATACGAAAAGGAAAAACAAAAACAGAAAGGCGGGGCTTCATTGTGGGGAGCGCTGTGTGTGTGCAGAGGAGGGAGGAAAGATGCGGCTGCCCAGCGGGGCTGAGCGCCCCTGGAGCGGGCGGGCGCTCCCCGGGCCGGGCCGCCCGGCCAACGGCACCGGCAGGGCCGAGGCTTTCTCCTTAGAGGTCTGCGGCTCCGTGTGTGTAACGACCCGGGTCGGTTTTACCCAGGGGGGTCCCTGCTGGGGACCAGGGGGGCTGGCGCGCTGGGAGCGGCATCCAGCTGAGGAGTGTTCGTTCGCACATGAGGCGGTGTGTTCAAGTCCTTTTTGGCTGGCTCGGTTTTCGAGGTGCAATGTCCTGTTCTTCTTCCCCCTCCCCTCCTTCGGGATAGTTTCTGGGCTTATTAGATTGAATTATCTTTTCTAACTCCTAGTCAATATTACACTCATCCCGAACAGATTCAGCTAAATGATGTTATCAATAGTTTCGAAGAGAAGTGACAGAAAGAAGAAGTGTTTTGTGACCGCAGACGTGCTGACGGGTAAAATGTTGAAGCTGGGTATGGATTTCAAAGTCCTTGGTCAATAGCCCGCGGAACGGGCTGCGGAAAGCGAGCAGCCTCTGCCCTCTGCAGGACACTCGGGTGGGCGCCAGGGGAATAGCTCGCCTTTGACAACAGGGCCCTGCTGTCGGGGACCGCTCCCCGCGTCGAGGGGACAGGACGTGGTAGGTTGGCTGGATGGCGCCTTGCTCGGCGGGGCAGGCCCGGCACTGCGGGGATGGCTACCGGGAGCCGGCGCTGGGGCCGGGCCTCCCACTGTGGAGGCCCCCGGGCTGCTCCTCTGGGGGTCTCTGTCCAGCGAGGAGCTGGCCAGATGGGAACCATTTTTCTTGTGCTTCCAGGCGGGTTGCGGGCAGTCCGGCAGGTTCGGGGGTCGTTTCCCCTTTTTCCTTTTCACTCTCTTTTGAGAGAAAGAACAGGGGAAATGGCGCGACCGTAAGATGCACATTCTGCAGGTGGATGTCAGGGTGCACGGCAGTTCCCCGGCTCCCCCACCCTCATTCCCAGCAAGGGCTCTCTGTCGTAGTTCACATGTCAACAACAAAAGACCCGCTTCCTTGGCTCGCTCCCTCTGATGAAGGCCGAAAGTGGAAGGCGTGAGGAGACTGTATAACCCGTAAACCTTGAGTGATTGCCTCCTTTCGTGTCCCCGGCTCCAGAGGGTGACAGGCCGCTGCTGCTACTGCTCTCCCCGGGCAGGATCTCCCGTGGGCGCCTAGCCCCGACAGCTCTCCCGGCAGCTTGCAAGGGAGGGACCAGGACGGGAACCGGGGGTTTGAAAAAGAAAAGCGGTAGAAGAGGAAACAGTCGGGCAAATCCTGCAGGTGGGGGGCAGGCCAGGTGATGCTCTTGGGGTGGGCGACTTGGAGGAGCCCCTAGGGGGACGAGGCCCCTGTTGCCCCAAGCTCTGTCCTGTTGTCTCTCTCTCCCCTTCGGGGTTTTGTTGTCGGGAGTTCCCGGTTCTCCCCTTCCAGTGCCCGGTCTCCCGGGCAGGCTTCTGGCCCGCGCCGGGACGCAGTGGTGCGGCAGGAAGGGTCCGGCTGCCTGCGCTTTCCCACCCTCCTGCCCCAAGCCTGGGATCCCTCTTCCTCCCTCCTGCTGCCTGCCTCTGCCCGCCGGCGCGGCCCCAGGCCCCGGGGTTGTCCCAAGCCGCGCTGCTGGAGGTTTGCTGGCTCTTTGTTCCGGTGCCGTCGGTGCGGAGATTCTCCGGTGCGGGAGGAGGAGAACTGGTGACTCGCCCTCGAGGGGAAGCAATGGCCCCCGGTGGGCCATGGGGCCCGGCGGCGTTGAGAGAGAGGCCACAGGCGGGCCTGCGTGCTGGGCTTAATCCCGTTTAAACCTCTGGGCTTAGATGGAGCCACGGCGGGAGGGGGGTCGCGTACATGGGGGTCCCCCAGCCCGAGCCAGCAGGAAGCTGTCCGCCGCTTTCCAGCAGGCTGAGAGGGCAGCGGCGGCCTCCTCCTGCCTCGAAAATGGAGGGTGGGCGTTGCGGTCTGTCCTGGGAAGTGTGGCATTCTATCGGGGTCACTCATTTATGTTGTGTTTCGGAAGGAAAGGGGCCTGGGCCGTAACCTCGAAGTGGAAAAGATTAAAAGGACCAACCAATTTTCGTGGGTGCTGGCGCTCAGTTGGTACTCTGTGCTCAGGCACGGCCCGGTTGCCGTCGGGGCGGTAGGAAGTTGCTCCGGAGAAGACGG